GGCTGGAGAATTCTGGGAGTTGAAGTCCACGCATCTTTAAGTTGCCAAGGTTGAGCAACATTGTTCTATAGGTTCAGAGGTGAGCCCCACTGTGCCCAAGGGTTTGCTCCTCCCTCTGACCCATTTCAAATCCCCAAGAAGTTTTCTCTCGGCCCCTCTCTTCCCCAAACAGCAAATAACAGGGTTAATTTCAATCCCAGGACTATACAGTGGGTGACCCACTAAAAGGCAGGAATATCAGAGATATTTGCTACAAAAGCTACCTAGCAGAACCCCCATAGGCAGAGATGGGGCCAGCATAGTAACAGGAAGCAGGTTAATCATACAGATAATCCTTTGGTTCAATCCCAAGACAATGTCACTCGTTTGGATTTTGCACCCAGAAAGCAAATCTGGGCCCTAAGGAAGCAGAAAGCCCAAAGAATCTCCTTGCTTCTTTTTAACCATGCCATTCACAGGACCCAGTGGTTACAATCTGCATCATTATCCATGTACCAATGTTAATTCATAATTCTGTATAACAGAAATGCTTTTCCAAAGTACTCAGACTGCTGTCCCTGCAATATCTCGGGAATAAATTCAACAACCCCCAGATATAGCAGACTGGCCCAATTTCCCCTATATTAAAAGTATTCATTTTTCAACTGAAGTGCAAGTTTGCTTTCTGAAAGCACCCGTGGATTATTTGTTAAAGCCAGGTTGGCTTCTCATAGACAGAAAACACTTTCTTTTCCCGTGCAAGCTTCCCCATTCTTTGCACACCCGCAGGGAGGACAAAAGCCGGTCATCCACCTGCCATTTCAAACGAGCCGAAAAAATGGGAAATGAAAGACAACGTGGAAGTCACCAGGCTTTTGGTTCCTCCCATCTGTCTCATCTCCCACATTAGATTAGGAGAAATCGGCAGGCGTGGAAGTCCGTCTAAGGTTCACACGGTGGGGAACGGAGACCCGTCCGGATTTCTCAATCCAGGTGCAGACAGTCCCGCCTCCCGAAATCCAAGAAAGGCAGGGCAAGTGGGAAGGGCCGGCTGTGGCGAGCTCAGGGTGACTTCAGACCTGATAAAATTCGCTTTGCACATCGGAGAGCACCTCACGTGGGTCTCTAGGTAAATAGACATTCCAGGGTTTCTCCGCAGCCCTGTTTAACGAAGAAACACAACAAAAATGGCCCCCGGGAAAACGAAGCACACAACCTGGCTTTGCCCCAAACACGCCTAACCCCATTTTGTCTCTGCCTTACTTCCCAGCAGGTACAACGGGGAGTACATTTATGTGACAAGCAACTTACGCAGCGAACTCACGTACTGCCCTGAACTGTGGTTTCATTAGCCAGGGTTCTGTTACGGCTGGGTTCCTACAGGACACTCAGGAATAAGCCGCTGTTGACCAACCATAAATCCGGGTTCACTCCTCATGGTAAGCCAAAACCCAGTCAAACCCACGATGGTTTCGCATAGTGCGTGCCAGTCAGCCCACAAAGCGGCTATCCCTGGTCACGGCTGCCGCAGCCCTTGGTGCGGAGAGGAAGGCACTCTGCCCATGATCAGGAACGCTGCCTCCTGCTTGACCCCCTTCGCACGGGAAAACGGGACGCGAAGAAAAGTCTTTCCTGAACTCGGCCAAGCCCTAATCCTTCCAGCTCAGACCGGTCCGCTTCTCAGTCGACAGCAGGTGACTCCGGGCTGAAGCCGCGGGAAGGGAGCGAGCCCGGCCCCCTCCGCTGCCCGCGCCCTGCCCTCTCCGCCCGAGTCCAAGGTGCCCGCGATCCCGCGATTAC